ACTGTAAAACCATGGCCGCGGTCTGTGCACAAGAGCACGGAGGCGGTATGCGTCCCATAGCATTCTTTTCCAAAGTAGTTCCAGCTCCGGTACAGGGTATGCCGGCATTGGCAGCATGTGCAATGGCTGTTGAGACTAGGGCATCCTACAATACTCCATACCAGTCACCAGGTCACTCAGCTTATAAAAAATCTCACCACACAACACATGACAGCCCAGCGCTTAAGTGGTTATGAGATTATTCTTCTTAATACCCAGAATCTGTCTATTGTTTATAGTCCTGTTAATTCTGGTCCTATGTCTGTTTTGCATACTATTCTCACTTCTGCATCTGACTCTGTGTCTATACCATCTGAGCCTCATAATTGCATTGAACAAATACATATTGCCACATATCCCAGAGCAGACCTCTCCTCCACAGCACTCAGTGGCCCGGATGTGACCACTGTCTTTGTGGATGGCTCTTGCTCCAGACCAAATGACGGTACATATCTCACAGGCTATGGCGTAGTACAGCTCCCTGATAAAATCATTGAAGCTGACACTATTTTCCAGCCGTCTGCACAAGCTGCAGAACTCATTGCTCTCACACGTGCCTGTCAGCTTTTCTCAGGACAGCGAGTGAACATTTACACAGACTCATGATATGCTCATGGGGTAGTGCATGATTTTGGTGTGATTTGGAAACAAAGAGGCTTTGTAGGAGCCGATGGAAAAGCCATTTCACACACAAATCTCATCCAATCACTCATAGATGCTATCCTACTCCCATCTGAAGTAGCTGTTATCCACTGCAAGGCACACAATCTGGGTAGTGATGACATTTCCAGAGGTAATGCCTTGGCTGACAAAGTGGCAAAAGAAGTTGCAGCCAAGACTCTTTACTATGAAATGTTTCCTGCTATGCTCACACCTCCCACATGCCCTACTGACAGTTTGCTTTTGCAGCTCCAAGCCTTTGCAACGCAATCTGACTTTGATTTTTGGATTAAACAAGGTTTAGAAAAAGATCAGAATGATCTTTTCTCTAAAGAGGGGAGGATAGGCATACCTGAAGCCAGCTGTTTTATTTTCATCAGTCAGGCACATGGTCCTGGTCACAAAAGCATAGCAAGCACCATCCAATTCCTCATGAATTCATTTTATATTAGGAATCTCAGGCAGCATGTACAGTCTTTTGTAAGATCGTGTGAACCATGTATGAGAACACATCCTAATATTCCACACAAATCACAGCACGAACATTTGCCCCCTCCAGCTGCTCCTTTTACACACTTAAAGATTGATTTTACTCATGTACCCAAAATTGGTAAGAAACAGCAATACTTACTGGTCATAGTTGATCAGTTTAGTAGATGGCCTGAGGCCTTTGTGACATCTAGGGAGGATGCTAGGACTGTAGTGAAGATTCTTGCTACTGAAATTATTCCCAGGTATGGCTGCCCTCTGCAGATTAACTCTGATAATGGCCCGGCTTTTGTTAGTAAAGTTACCCAGGAACTTGCTAAATTCTTGCAAGTTAGCTGGAAGTTTCATATACCATATCATCCACAGAGTTCAGGGGTAGTTGAAAGGATGAATAGGACCATTAAGGAGAAGCTTATGAAAGCTACTGCAGGAACATGGGTAAATTGGACAAAATATCTTCCAGCTATTTTATCTGAGATAAGAATGACTGACTCCCCACAAGGTGACTAAATTATCTCCATTTGAGATTCTGATGGGACAACCTTTTCCCACACCCTGGGCCAGGGAACCGCTTGTTATCATGTCTGGAGATTTACAGCTAATACAAGAACAATATTGTGACGAGACCAATCTCGCCACATTGCATTGGAGAAGCCTGGTTGCTCGCCTGCTGCCTTTGGACTATGGCCCCCTGTTAAAAGACATCTTTTTTACCTGCAGAAAAGCTTCAGTCGTGCTTTTCTGCCTGGGTTTCAGTAGATTTGTTTGAATGTGTTACACCCCAGATGGGAATCCCATGGAGCCCATTCGTATGAAACTGACTGTAAAGACTTTGGCTCCATGGTGATTAAACTGTATTTGTGTGGTCCGAGCGCCATTCACTTAATAATGTGCGCTCAGACCTGAGCTATCTGGGGATATGTGAAATGTCTGTGTTTTATGTATAAATGTGACTTTATGTATTTTAAAGTGCTTTGTGTCTTTTTGCAACCATGTGCTTAATGGAGTCTTATGTCTGTCCTGGGAGATAATGGAATTACTCTCCAGGATAGAAGACTCTGAAACTGGTTTGGGCCAGAAAGCCATGCTTCATTTAGTCACAAAGGACTTTTTACTAACTTTTGAACCCCTGGTCTGATTCAGGCCATTTTTTAATATGTTGTTCCCCTGAATGGATTGATTGTGCATATGTAATTTTATGTGAATGTGATGTATGGTTTTAGAGTTATGAAAGTTGGGTAGAAAGTATGTTTTAACTGTATGTATAATTGAGTTTCCTCTCAGGATAAGGGGAGGGAATATGTGAGATGTAACTGTGATGTGATTGGTTGTTTTATCCCTCCCTGTGGGTGGTCCTGTATTTGAAACACTGTAATAAAAACCAGGCTGGGTGTGCCAGCACCTCAGACCACTGCTTGACCCTCAACACGGAGCCTTGTCTCGTTCTTGGGGGGGATTCACTGTATGCTGTTAGAGACTGATTTCCAGGAGTGTAAGCTGATTGTCTGCTTTTCCTGTTCGTCTGCTAGCAGCTATTTGGGAGGTTCCAGTTCGGGAGTTGGAGTGCTATTTTGTATCCAGTTCGTGAGTTTTGGTGTTCTGCAGTAGCTGTGCCTGTATCTCTGGAAAGGGGGCCGAACGCCTAAACGGTTTTTACCCCTTTTGTGCAAAACGGTCCGTTACAATTGGTGGCAGCGGTGGGATCGTTCATACAGCCAGAAGGACAGCTACAGGAGACACCATTCCGTGGATTTTACAATTTGAGGGCAACGCATGTCTCAGTACAGCGACCCTGACAGCAACAGAATGGAACCAGCAGTGGAGTACAGATACTCTGTACAGGAATTTGACCGTATGATGTGGTTGCGGCTGAACTTCTACGGGCCTAATCCAGCTGAGAAATCCGTTAAGTTCGTGAGGAGTCTAGTATTCAAGACTCTGCTGTACCGGGCAGAGGGTGACGGTCAGCTGCCGCGGTGGGTGGACCTCCACCGGCAGCTACAGTTGCGGGACAGAGAGAGCCCAGTCTCCTCTCCCCAGCGGCAGTGTGATATGCAGGGAATTGGGAGCCCAGTCTCCATTCCCCAGCGGTAGTGTGATATGCAGGGACTTGGGAGCCCAGTCTCCATTCCCCAGCGGCAGTGTGATATGCCGGGAATTGGGAGCCCAGTCTTCATTCCCCAGCGGCAGTGTAAAGTGCAGGGAGAGGAGAGCAGCGTCCTCCCTCCCCAGCGGCAGGCTGAGTTACAGGGGGCAGAGGTAGTTGTTCCTGGCCCCCAGCAGCAGAGTGATATGCCGGGAAGGCAGTGTAAAGTGCAGGGAGAGGAGAGCAGCGTCCTCCCTCCCCAGCGGCAGGCTGAGCTACAGGGGGCAGAGGTAGTTGTTCCTGCCCCCCAGCAGCAGCATGATTTTTGGGGAATTGGGAGCCCAGTCTCCATTCCCCAGCGGCCGAGTGATGTGCCGGGAATTGGGAGCCCAGTCTCCATTCCCCAGCGGGAGATACAGCAGGGAATTGGGAGCCCAGTCTCCATTCCCCAGCGGCAGAGTGTCCAGCAGGGAATAGAGAGCCCAGTCTCCTTTCCCCAGCAGCAGGACACTGTATTGGGAGCGGAGACAGTCGGTCTCCCTCCACAGAGGATGAAAGTATGTATGGGAGAGGAGCTTGCTACCACCTCTCCCCAACGACAGCTTAGAGTATCCAAAGGGGAGACAGTCGGTCTCCCCCTCCGGCAGCAGAGCTGTGCAACAAAAGGGGAGACAGTCGGTCTCCCCCTCCGGCAGCAGAGCTGTGCAACAAAAGGGGAGACAGTCGGCCTCCAGCAGCAGAGCTGTGTGTCTAAAGGGGAGACAGTCGGTCTCCAGCAGCAGAGCGGTGTAGTTAAAGGGGAGACAGTCGGTCTCCCCCTCCAACAACCAGGCTTCAACCAGGCTACTCTCCCAGTAGCGCTGGCAACAGGGCAGAGTGCCGCTGGTCTCTGCCCACGCAGCAACCCACCCAGTCAGCGTACACGTACCCAGCACAGCCGTGGTGAGGCACCTGGACATGGACAAGCTTCTCCTTTACCCAGGTGTAGTAACTATTTATTGTGGGTGGGCTGTGCTGTTGATTATGTTTTGTGGGTGGGCTGCTGGACTAACAAGGGCACTGACCGGCAGGAGGTCAGATACCCTGTTAGTCTGTTTGGAAAAGGGGGAGAGATGTGACGAGACCAATCTCGCCACATTGCATTGGAGAAGCCTGGTTGCTCGCCTGCTGCCTTTGGACTATGGCCCCTTTTAAAAGACTTTAGTTTTGCCTGCAGAAAAGCTGTATTCGTGCTTTTCTGCCTGGGGTTCGGTAGATTTGTTTGAATGTGTTATACCCCAGATAGGAATCCCATGGAGCCCATTCGTATGAAACTGACTGTAAAGACTTTGGCTCCATGGCGATTAAACTGTATTTGTGTGGTCAGAGCGCCATTCGCTTAATAATGTGCGCTCAGACCTGAGCTATCTGGGGATATGTGAAATGTCTGTGTGTTATGTGTAAAATGTGACTTTATGTATTTTAAAGTGTTTTGTGTCTTTTTGCAACCATGTGCTTAATGGAGTCTTGAGTCTGTCCTGGGAGATAATTGAATTACTTATCTCCAGGATAGAAGACTCTGAAACTGGTTTGGGCCAGAAAGCCATGCTTCATTTAGTCACAAAGGACTTTTTACTAACTTTTGAACCCTTTGTCTGATTTGTGCCATTTTTGAATATGTTGTTCCCCTGAATGGATTGATTGTGCATATGTAATTTTATGTGAATGTGATGTATGGTTTTAGAGTTATGAAAGTTGGGTAGAAAGTATGTTTTAACTGTAGGTATAATTGAGTTTCCTCTCAGGATAAGGGGAGGGAATATGTGGGATGTAACTGTGATGTGATTGGTTGTTTTATACCTCCCTGTGGGCGGTCCTGTATTTGCAAGACTGTAATAAAAACCAGGCTGGGTGTGCCAGCACCTCAGACCACTGCTTGACCCTCAACACGGAGCCTTGTCTTGTTCTTGGGGGGATTCACTGTATGCTGTTAGAGACTGATTGCCAGGAGTGTAAGCGGATTGTCTGCTTTTCCTGTTCGTCTGCTAGCAGCTATTTGGGAGGTTCCAGTTCGGGAGTTGGAGTGCTATTTTGTATCCAGTTTGGGAGTTTGGTGTTCTGCAGTAGCTGTGCCTGCATCTCTGGAAAGGGGGCCGATCGCCTAAACGGTTTTTACCCCTTTTGTGCAAAACGGTCCGTTACAATTCGTTTGCGTTTTTCCACTTGTGATTGCTAAGGGTGTTTCTATTGTATTATATAGACACTAATACAGATATGATAAGTCAGGAAAGAGAAAATCAAGATAAGAAGGTAGAAGGGGATTTTTTTTAGGACCACAACAAATGTATATGAATACAGATCTAAACAGGAGAATATATGGTCGACAAAAACGATTCCATCAAGGGGATCAAGAGGGGAAAGAAGAATTCAGAACAGGAAAAAGAACAAAATGGTAGAATTCATAGGCATATTTAACCTTTCGGATACAGTTTTATCGGTTTATCAAACCAAGGTATTAAAGGTTTAAAATATGCACCTTCAATTACATCAAACCTTTTTTTAAACTTTCTAGACATACACAAATTTATGAGGAATCTATCCTTAAAAAGTTTATGACAAATCCAATTATTAAAGGATCACACTGGGCCCCTTATGCCTCCATAAATATAGCAAAATCTTACTGTATTCAAGCCTGAAGCTGTAACTCTGCATGCTGTTTGCCTCAGAAAAATAAGCAGTCTGCTGACATCATCAGAAGTGGTAGCCTGATCCAATCACAATGCTTCCCCATAGGATTGGCTTAGACTGACAAGGAGGCAGATCAGGGGCAGAGCCAGCATGATTCAAACACAGCCCTGGCCAATCAGCATCTCCTCATAGAGATGAATTGAATCAATGAATATCTATGAGGAAAGTTCAGTGTCTGCATGCAGAGGGAGGAGATACTGAATGTTTGGATGCATTTTAGGCAGCCATGACCCAGGAAGGATCTCTAACAACCATCTAAGGAGTGGCCAGTAAAGTTATCACTAGGCTGTAATGTAAACACTGCATTTTCTCTGAACAGACAGTGTTTACAGCAAAAAGCCTGAAGGGAATGATTCTACTCAACAGAACAAATTCAATAAG